CATACTGAAGGTGTAAATTAAAAACTGAACGATGTAGTAGGGAAGCATAATTACCTCTGTATGTCATTTTCGTTAAGTATTGATGAATTCAGATGTGCATACTCAACTTTTCCAGGCTCGGCAATCTTTCTTTATTCAAACTGTTCTGAATCTCTAGGCCGATTGTCACAAAGAAAACTGGCAGCTCTCGGTCATATTTGACATTTGAGTTCTTTCAATCTGATTCTTTGTTGTTTGTAGAATTCTAGGCAATGTGCTTTTTACCACATTGATTAAATAATTAATTACAGAGCAATCATTGTAAGACATTGCTCTGTGTTGATTAATTCTTTTTACAACAATATATTTAAATCTTTAATGCAATCTTTTTTGAATTAATTCTTTTTAGCACATTGCTCTGTGTTGATTATAAGAGTTTTTTCTGGTCATTGGATGGACCATTTTTGAGGAATATGTAACGCAAAAAAGGAAAAAGGAAATCTGGTATTTTAATTAAGAATATCTGTTGGTTTGAAGTGGTTCAATGGCCATTTTTTTACTGTAAGAGCATTTTCTATAGCTGCCATCCATTTCTAGCTTTGGGAACGAGTCATATGATGCTGCATTTAATTAAAAGAAACTGATTTCTAGAGCAAGTTGGTTGAATTTGAAATCATATTCCTCTTATTTTTATGTTTAAGTTCTGGAAAAATTTGATTTTCTCCTCCCTTAACGTGGTGATGATTGGCATTCAAATTCACATAAAAAAAAAACTTTTGGATTTTAAGTTCGAATTTGAACATTGCCCTTCCTGATCGAAAAACTGCTTATGTGGATCGTAGCTATTGATTTTAATGCCAAAGTATAAGCTGGGAAAAATACAGAGTTGTTACAAGGGCAGTGTAACTTGTCGGAGGTGAAATAGGTGAAATAGGGCTAGAGTTGTTACAAGGGCAATGTAACTTGTCGGAGTTGTTTAAGAAGGTGTTAAAACTCTGAATTCATGTATTCTTTTGACTGCAAATAGCTATCTGGTTATGAACCAGTCATTCGAAGGAGCACACAAAAAATTTTTCACCTAAATTGTGTACTTATTGAGGCTTTGGTTTAATTAATCCATGAGTAGTAGTAATATTTTTCATGCCTTCATTTGATTTAGGTGAAATAGGGGGTTAGCGGAATTAGTGCAAATTCTATTGTTTGCTTTTTAATATTTTGAATGTCGAATTTCATTTCTTTCTTGCACGTATTTTTCTGTTCTATTATAGAGGTAGATAATTTTGCTGAATTCCAAAATTTGAGATATAGGTATACATTCTTTTGTTAACAGGTTTATGCCGCCACGCACTAGATCTATTTCTAGAGGTTTGTTTTGGGGGTAGAATTTTTTTTCTTTGCATGTTGGACTGTTAAGAATTGTAAGGGCTAATATTCACTTTTGCTCACAGTCGGAAAACTCATACTTGCTGGTTCTGTTAGCACTGCTTGGTCTGAGTATGGAGAGAACGACTTACAGCTTTGCATCACCAATTACTTCAAGGTATTATTGAATTCGTCTCTTTTTCCAACCCCGTCACTAATATATTGAATTAACTATTTTGTATGCCCTTGATTTTCATGGCTGCCCTGGTTGTTCATTGGTATTATTTGCACGTGATTCATCTGTATTACTTCAATATTGCTCTATATTGGAAGTGGGGCTATAGATGCCATTCAATTTCTGTTTAGCATCTTTAATAGTCAATTTTCGCTAATCTTATTTGTCCTATATAAAGCGTAAAAAACCAATGGCTGGTAAGGTTGGTTCATCAAGGTAAGGTCGAGCCCAATTTCCAATGGAGCGAGAGCTTGAATTTGTGGAGTACTTGGTTGAGTTATTAATTATGCTAAAAAGTCTATTTTTCATATATTTCATTGATCTATTTATACAAGTAACTAGGTTAAATGGTCAGCCATGTACAGCTGTATATAGTCTGTAATTACAGACTATATACAGCTGTATTCTTAGACTAATTACAGCAGCTATCTTAGACTAATTACATAGCTGTATTCTTAGACTAATTTCAGCAGCTATCTTAGACTAATTACATAGTTGTATTCTTAGACTAATTACAGCTAATTCCTACCAACTCTCCCCCTCAAGTTGGGGCATAGATATCACAAATGCCCAACTTGGATAGAGATGCATTGAATAAGTTACTAGTAACAGCATGAGTCATAATATCAGCCAACTGATCTGAACTTCTAGTATAGGGAATTTCAATTGTCCCTGAATCAAGATTATCTTTGATGTAGCTCCTATCAATTTCAACATGCTTTGTCCGATCATGTTGAACAGGATTATTTGCAATCTTAATGGCTGCCATATTATCACAAAATAATACCATAGGACCTTTTGGACCAAACCCAATCTCCTTTAAGAGAATTTTCAGCCAAGAGAGTTCTGTGATAGCATGATGCATAGCTCGATATTCAGCCTCTGCACTAGATAATGAAACCACGTTCTGTTTTTTACTTTTCCAAGACACCAAGTTGCCTCCAACAAAAGCCAAATATCCAGAAGTTGATTTTCTATCTAACTTGCTACCAGCAAAATCAGAGTCTGTATATCCAACAACATCAAAATGTTCGTGTTTGGAGAATAAGACACCTTTTCCTGGAGCTAATTTCAAGTAAGCCAAGATTCGATTAACAGCATTCATGTGTTGATCACTTGGATTGTGCATAAACTGGCTAATAACACTGACTGCATATGCTAAATCTGGCCTGGTATGAGTTAAATAGATTAGTCTACCCACGATCCTTTGATATCTTTCCTTGTTTGTTGGAATCTGATCAGAAAAGAAGGCTAGGCCATGATTCACTTCAATCGGAGTATCTATCGGCTCACACGCAGACATACCAGTTTCAGCTAGGAGTTCCAATGTATACTTCCTTTGGGAAAGGAAGAGTCCTTGCTTAGACCGTGATACTTCAATGCCAAGAAAATATTTAAGAGTCCCCAAATCTTTAATCTCAAATTCTTTGGCCAAGTAGCTTCGAAGGTTCTCTATTTCTTCTTTGTTATTACCTGTTACAATCATATCATCAACATAGACAAGAAGTATGGTAATATCATTGTAGTTACGTTTATAGAACAGCGTGTGATCTGCTGAAGCTTGCTTGAATCCATACTCCTCCATGGCATGACTCAATCTTCCAAACCATGCCCTTGGTGATTGTTTTAATCCATACAATGCCTTTTTCAGTCTGCATACCTTTCCTTCTTCTAGTGTAAACCCTTGAGGAGGATCCATGAAAACTTCCTCAGTCAACTCACCATGAAGAAAGGCATTCTTCACATCAAATTGTCGTAGAGGCCAGTCTAAATTAACTGCAAGTGACAATATGGCTCGAACAGTGTTCATCTTGGCAACCGGTGCAAATGTCTCTTGATAGTCAATACCATAGGTTTGAGTGTAGCCTTTTGCAACCAGTCTAGCTTTGTATCTTTCAACTGCCCCATCAGACTTGTGTTTGACATTGAATACCCATTTACACCCTACGGTCTTCTTTCCCATTGGTAACTCAACCATTTCCCAAGTAGAATTCTTTTGGAGAGCCATCACAAAGCTAGACTGGTTGCAAAAGGCTACACTCAAACCTATGGTATTGACTATCAAGAGACATTTGCACCCTACGGTCTTCTTTCCCATTGGTAACTCAACCATTTCCCAAGTAGAATTCTTTTGGAGAGCCATCATTTCTTCTACCATTGCATTTTTCCACTTAGGATCATCAAGGGCTTCCTGAAAATGACTAGGAACATATACAGAAGACAACTGAAGAGCAAATGTCAAGTTAGCCTTAGACAAACGGTGATAGGATATAAAATCAGAAATTGGATAAGAAACATTGGAAGCTTTTGAAAAACCAAGTCTATCAGGTTCTTTTCGTTCACGAAGAGGATATCTTCTATTCTGATCAATATTAGGATATGAGTCGAGACTTTCAGAAGAAGTACATACCTTAGTGTCAATCTTGGAAGATTCATTCGATAGCATGGTAGTATCAACAAGGGAGGTACTATCATTAAGGGAGGTACAAGAATCAGGAGGCATAACAGTGGTATCTTTTGTTCTCCTAGAATATCCTTTCCCAAAGAGATGAACGGGTCTCTCACTATTAGTTTCAATTTTATTTTCCTGACCATCATCTAAAACTAAGGATTCCCCGTTTTCCTTTGCATTCTCTATACTTGAGATCCAAATCCTTTTTTCTCCTAGCCATTGTTCTTCCTCTTCTCTACTTTTAATCTCCCCCTGAAGAGGAACTGTAGACATATGTCCAGAAAAATAAGACTCATTTTCATAAAATTGAACATCCATAGACACATAGTAGGTTCTTGTAGGAGGATGAAAACATTTATATCCCTTTTGTGAATTAGAATAGCCAAGGAAAACACATTTGATAGCACGAGGATCAAGTTTATCTCTATGATGAGAATGAACATGAACATAGCATACACAACCAAAAACCTTTGGACAAATATTAAGAGCAGAAGGAATAGAATGAAATTTAGATAACATTCTCAAAGGGGTTTGGAAATCAATAACCTTAGCAGGCATTCGATTAATGAGGAAAACAGCAGCCATAATAGCTTCAGCCCAAAAATGTTTTGGAACATGCATAGTAAAACATAAGGCTCGTGCTACTTCAAGAAAGTGACGATTTTTCCGTTCTGCTGTGCTATTCTGCTGGGGTGTGTAAACACAAGTGGTTTGATGAAGAATGCCATGTTGTATCATAAAATCAGCAAGAGATCGATTCACAAATTCACGACCATTATCAGAATGAAAAACCTTAATTTTAGTGTTGAATTGAGTAAGAATCATGTTATAAAACTGAGGAATAATATGACAAACATCACTCTTAGATTTCATCAAATATACCCAACTGACTCTAGTACAGTCATCAATAAAAGATACAAAATATTTATGTCTTGAAGTAGAAGTAGTTGAGAAAGGACCCCACACATCAGTATAAACACATGAAAAAGGAGTGACACTTTTATTAAAACTAACTTTGAAAGGAACACGATGGTTTTTTGCATAAACACATTGTTCACATCTTAAGCTAGAAGTTGAAATATTGGAAAATAACTTAGGAAACATATGCTCTAAATAAGAAAAAGATGGATGTCCTAGTCGACGATGCCACAGGATTATTCTTTCTATTTCTAATGTCCCACTTTTTGTTTGAAGACCTCGAGCAGATATTGTTATGCCTTGATTGTCTTCCCAGTAATATAAACCATCCCTCTCCTTACCAATGCCAATCGTCATCTTCGTAAGATTGTCCTGAAAAACACAATGAGTAGAGTGAAAAATGACAGAACAGTTAAGATGCTTTGTTATTTTACTAATGGAGAGGAGATTATTTGAGAGTTTAGGTGCAAGTAAAACAGAGGACATAGAAAACTTTGGTGAAAGAGACACATTTCCAGCGGCTATGATTGGTGTAAAATTTCCATTAGCAACCTGTACAGACTTCACAGGTGGAGATGTAAGAGAGTCAATGATAGAAGAGTTACTAGTCATATGATCAGTAGCCCCTGAATCAATAATCCAAGTGCTAGGATGAGCAGAAATAACGGACAAACCAAAAATACCTTCTTGAGAAGATGCCCGAGACACATGGGAAGCAGAAGATGGAGTAGTGTCTATGGCAGCAACGTTTTGAGCAACAGTATTATGAGCAAATTTTTTATTTTTCCTCTCAGCTTGCTTAAGTTTATACCATTCTGGATAGCCATGCTTCTTCCAACAAACATCAATTGTATGTGTATTCTTATTGCAGTAGGTGCAAAATCGAGACTGAGAAGCTATAGAATTTCCATTAATGGTAATAGGAGTGCTCTTTTGAATAGTTAGAGCTGAAGCCTCAAAGTGTGATTCTGCTCCCATGGCAACTTGTCTTTGTAGTTCTCGACGAACCATGGAGTAGACTTCTTCTAATCTTGGTAAAGGAGAAGTACTTAGAACACGGCTGCGAACTTGATCTAACTTATTATCAAGCCCAGCAAGAAAAATATAAACTCGATCTTCGGCAATACGATTTCTATATTTTTCCATATCAGCAGCACATGTCATGTCATTGGGCCGTCGATAATCGAGCTCCATAAAGGTTGAGTTTAATTCGTTGTAATATTCTGCTAGAGGCCGACCATCTTGTTGTAAATGAAAAGTCTTCTTCATTAGCTCATAAACTTCAGAGGAATCTGATACATCAAGGTAACTTCTTTTTACAGCATCCCAAACTTCCTTTGATGTGCCGCATTGTACAAAGTGAGATATCAGATTATCACTCATTGAATTAATGAGCCAAGATTTGACAAGAGAATCTTCAGCTTCCCATTCATCATAACTTGAATCATCTACTGCTGGTGCAGCTTTTTTTCCATTAATATAGTCCATTTTTTTCCTTCCAGCAATATGCATCTCCAAAATCTTGGACCAAACTCGATAATTAGTGCCATCCAATTTAATGTAGATGGAAGAAGAAGCATCTTGTATGGTTAGAGTGGAGAGATTCTTGCTGTTAGGAGATTCAACATCAGGTTTGGTTGACATATTGTGATGTGATTAGTGTTTTAGAGAAGAAATTTCAGTAGTGTGGGCTATTGAAAGAATGGCTGGAATCTTCAGAGAAGAGGAGAGCAAGGAAAAAACCCCAATGCTCTGATACCAAGTTATTAATTATGCTAAAAAGTCTATTTTTCATATATTTCATTGATCTATTTATACAAGTAACTAGGTTAAATGGTCAGCCATGTACAGCTGTATATAGTCTGTAATTACAGACTATATACAGCTGTATTCTTAGACTAATTACAGCAGCTATCTTAGACTAATTACATAGCTGTATTCTTAGACTAATTTCAGCAGCTATCTTAGACTAATTACATAGTTGTATTCTTAGACTAATTACAGCTAATTCCTACCAACTGGTTGAATTTAAACGGGCTAATAGAATGAATAAGGGTAATTTAAAGAGTGAGGTGTTCCCGGCAATTGTTGATAAATTTGCCAAAAAAGGATGCCACTTTGATCCAGTTCAAATCAAGGCGAAGTATTATGCATTACGCCATTTGACTCAAGAATACAATCGCATGCGATTGAGGGTGACTGGGGCCGGATGGGATTCCCTCCTTCAGACTGTAACCATGGACGAAAGCAAATGGCAAGCTGTGATTAAGGTACTCCAATTAATTTTTTCTTTTGCATTACATAAGCTTATACAGTGTAAAAACTATTTTTTACCGTCCTTTATGTTAATTTTGGTATTAAATGTGTAGGAGAATCCATCTTTTGAGACTTACCACAACAAAGATTGCCATGTCTTCTACATATTGTCGGAGGTGTTTGACAAAATGGATGCCCAAGGCCAATATGCTAGGGACTCAAACCAACCATCAGTTGACATCAATGACGAGATAAGAGCGAGGCAAAGTCAAGCATATGACAATATGGGTGGCCAGGGTACGGAGCACGTGGACCTGACTAATGATATGACGCCTCCTATGCAGTCAATTGGGAAATCGGATGCCAAACATTCGAAAGGCAAAGGCAAAGGGAAAAGGAAGACTCCAGAATCTTCATCCGCCAAAGACAGCGACCTCCCGCCCGGTCTAAGTCGCACCTCATACAATAATGCACTATCTTGGATGGATGTGACCTTTGCTGCCGATCGGACCATGTCCCAGAGCGTAGATGCCCCATCTCCCCCACCTGCTGCTACTCCAGCTTCTCCTCCTACGATTTACGTGGATGATGACCTGTACTCTGTGGCAAAGGCAGATGCAGCCTTAAACACAATAGAAGGCTTGCCAGATCGGGTAACTGTCAAAGCAGCTGTTAAGTTGGCTGATTCCGCTGACCATCGGAGGATGTTTTTGAGTCAAAAGAGTGAGGCTTGGAAGCGGTTATATGCACTGACGATTGGGGGAGCGAAATAGATGAGTAAGACCTGCATGTGCCTAGGGGTTAAGCACCAGTTGGAAGGCTTTGTTTGCATGTTTAAATGACATTTGATTTGTGTTTGTGATTGATGGATGCTGGTTTTCCTTGTTGGGAAACGAATTTGCACTTTGGTTGTTTCATTATGTAGTTTGGATCATTTTAAGACTTACCATAATGTTTCTCCATTTCAAGTATTTGACTTTTCGAGTTGGCGAATAATAAATAGGAGTTCTACTTTAATATAAGAGTTGTTTCACTAATTCACATATTCCTAGCCATTTCTGACTTATTTGTGCTTATGTATCACTTTTTTTCAAGGTGCAGGTGTTTTGCCCAAACAGAGCATAAATGGCTAGGGCTCCGCCAAATTTTGGAGTGAATTTAGATGACCCAGATGATGCAAGACAAGCCGCAACTGCTGTGTTAATACTATCGTGGCACTTTCAAACACATCAGGTTTCAAGGACAAGGCAGTTAGTCCATACATGCCCTTTCACAGGTCGGTGTTGGGTTGACGATCTATTGGGGGGAAAGTGCATTAGGATGCTTAACAACATGCGCATGAATGTGCCCACATTTATTCAACTATGCCGGATATTACGTGAAGGAAGATACATTACTGAGGGCCCCTGTGATAGTGACTTTAGAGGAAGGAGTACCAATTGCTCTATATGGCGTGAGCCATGATTTGACACAAAAAGTGCTAGGTGAGCGATTTCAGCATTCCATTGAGACCATTCATCGACACGTGCGCCGCCTGTGCCAGTCCTTATTCCGATTAGCACCTATTGCACTCCGACATAGGAACACCGATACTACTCATTCTCGGATTCGGAATAATAGACGATTTTATCCCTAGTTTAAGGTACGCGCCTGCATCTTAAAACTAATAAGTTTCGAAATGCAAATTTAATTTACCATAGATTCAATATGTAGGATTGCATTGGGGTTATTGATGGAACACATGTCTCGGCAAGTATGCCAAGAGAGGAACAGAATGCCTGTCGTAACAGAAAGGGCATGCTTTCACAAAATGTTTTAGCCGCATGTGACCACGATATGAGGTTCGTTTATGTCAGAGCTGGTTGGGAAGGTAGTGTCCATGATAGTCGTGTCTTATTGGATGCTATTTCCAATCCGGATGCAGTATTTTCAGTACCACCGGTTGGAAAATATTATGCAGTTGATGCAGCGTACAGGCACATGCCAGGATTCATGGCCCCTTTCAAGAGTGGTCCAGGAGGAAGATCACAGACTACACAGAAAGGATTCTTTAATCGCCGCCATTCTTTGGTTCGGAATATAATAGAGAGGACGTTTGGGGTATGGAAAATGAGGTTCAAAATTTTGGATGATCCTATGAAAAACTATCCTATTGAGGCACAGAGGAACATTGTAGTGGCGTGCAGTGTACTGCACAATTTTATAAGGGAGATGCAGCCATACGACGTCTACTTACCAGATGAAGTTAATATGGATGGCAGAGGTACCGAGGGAGTTCAAATGCCACAATTCCACGTCACTCCAGAAGCACTCCATGATTGGAAGGAATTACAAAATGCAACGGCTGATCACATGTACCTTCACTGAAATGAGTAGTATATAGTCCTCCAGGTCCTAGTTTTTTCATGCTGTCTACTTGATTCCCACGTAGCCCGTACTAGTTTCAGTTGTATAATATGATATTTTTTTTTAATATTTGAGATGAATATTTGGTCATGTAGCAATTGAAGCCTTCTAGTCATGTACTTGTTTACCGGATTCCTTTCCACTTGTATGAATGTAATATTTTCACAACTTCTCCAATTATTTGCATACAGGTTTTGAGATTCCATATTACTATGAAATATACGAAAATCTCCATGTTTACCTATTTAGACACAAGGTAGTTGAAAAAGTCATAATAATTTTGCTACAGTAGCATGGAGGACAATTTTTGGCTACAGGAATAAAAAAATGGCTAGTGAGAATTTTTTTTTTTAAGTTAAAGAAAAAAAAAATTTTTAGTTTAAAAAATTGCTACAGTAAAGTTTTTAAAAAACTTATACAGTAAGTTTTTCTACAACTTCTACAGTGATCTATAGTAAAGTTTTAAACAAACTTCCAAAAAACTTAGGTTCCAAACGAGCCTTTGTTTTGCCCCCCATTTTCTAAATCGGGATCCGTTTTCTTAATCTGTCTTTTGGTTTAGGTTTAATTACATTATAATCCCTCAAAATACACATGTATCCCACCTTTTCCAATCACATTTTTTCATGCCAAGGTACACATAATTCAAAGCAACAAGTTACTATTATGTCCCCCCTGCGCGGAGCTCAAACGGTTTCCGTAGTCTACTCTTTAGGAGCAGGTCTCAGGTTCGTCTCTCGGGAGCTACCGTGCTGTGATCCTTGGAGCGGGCTTTCACAGCTTGAAAGTAGTCTGCCTTGCTCAGGTAATTCTGTCCAAATCAGGATACCTCCCAGTTGAAAAAAAAAAGTTACTATTATGCTTTCAATTAATCATTTCTTGATGTGGCAAAAGAAAAGTAAAATATTTTATTTGGATTGTATGTTTTCATAAAAAATATTTTTAAAATACTTTTTTATTGTAATATACTCTCTTGAAACATTTCTCAAATGCTCTTTTATTTCACATAATCATATTATTATAATAATTTAGCAATCGAAACAAGCTTAAACAGACTTTTCACTTCATTTGCAAATTGCAGTTTTTCCTTATTCTGGTGAACGAGGTATTTGTCTTTCCAATTCTTATTAATTTTATGCATGTGGTATCACATATGCTCTCAATTTTCATCTTTACATAACTAGTGTATGTAAGATGATGAAATAAAAGTGAATTTGAGGGTGCATTTTGTAAGCATGTTGGCTTAAGCCAGCTTTATTACTAGGAAAAAAGAAGAATTGTGTTTGGGTGGTCCATGATAAGATAAACTTCATAAATGTTCTTTCTTTTTTTGAATATGGTTGAGTTTGAATAGAGAGACTGGACTAAAGATTTGAAATCATTTCAAATGCCTCTAATCATTTACATTATTTAGAAGATATTTAGATTTGTAAATTATCAATTATTTTATTATTTAAAATATATTTTAATAGTTGGCATATTACAAGTCCAAATGTCAATTAAGCGATCCAAACAATTGAAGCGATTTAAATAAATTTCAAATCTTTCGTCAAATTCCTCGATTCAAATAAAGGCAAGCGAATCGCTATCATTCATGAATGGTATTCTTGGGATTTCGTTAAGGTGCCCCTTCATTCATTTTTTTGTTGTGTACATTAATTTCAAGAGGTTAGAATCTTGTAAGTGTAAAGTTGCACAAGATGCTTTAATGATGTTGCGTTTAAGAGGTTAGAATCTTATATATGTAAAGTTGTACAAGATGCTTTAATGAAGTTACGTTTACGCTGTCTTTAACCATATAGATAAAGAAGGAAAGGCCCCTGCCACCTAGGATGGTCGTCCGCCCATGTGGCAATTGGAGATTGGCTGGAGGTGATATGGCACTTGGTTGTCCTTCCTCTTGTATTTGTTTGAGGGCTTTCCCCCGATAAACCAAACGACGTCGTCTGTTCCTTCTTTTTTCCTCTGTCTTTCAAACGTAGCAGCATCAATCAATGTCAAAAGCTCTTGAAGACTGGTTCCTATACAAAACTCCATTTTATCCTCTAGGCAAAACTCTATTTTTTCCATGAGACCCAGAAGTCTCCCCTCAATTTCCGGCATTTGATTGTACTTGGGAGAGATTGTAATCTCGATTGGAGGGTCCAGATTTTTTTCTTCTTCTGAGGAGTGGGTGCTTAGAATTTGATAGGCGATGGGCTCGAGATAGAAAATGGTTGGTAATCTTCTTCGCCTTCCACTCCCGGTTCTCTCTCTTGTTCTTCTTCATCTTCCTCCCTCCCTCGAGTCTCTTTATGGGTCTCTTTTTTTGTTTGGCTACTCACAAGTTTTATTTTCTCCCCTTCATTTTCCCTTTTTTTAATGCATGGTTTCTTCCCTTTTTGTTGCCGTGACTTTCCTGTAATTTTTTTTGGGGTAACTCAAAAAATCTTCAACAGCCTCTAAGAAGAGGAAATATAAGGGTTTTGTGTTGAAGTTTTTCTTTTGGGTTCCATTTGGTTTGTTTCTCATCATTTCATCCTATGCTGGTTTCTTTTTGCTCATACTTGCTTGCTGTGTTTGCTGGTGATTTCAGACCCCAACAGCTTGAGAATGGGAGAGTTCTGCAGCGATTTCTCGAAAAATGCTAGGCTCAGGGATATGGTTGACGAAGAAGATGATGAAAAAGAGAGATTGAAGAAGGTCTGAAATTCTAGGGCTTGTAGCGGCCAAAACTTGATAGGCATGTGGATTCCTAAAGCACCTGATAATTTTTTCCCCACAATTCGGGAAAATTTTATACTATGATGGCTCTAAAAATACAGAGTTTTCAATCTGAATCTATCAATTTTTTGTGCTCGCCCAGATTCTTCTCTCTCTCTCTCTCTCTCTCTGTATGTATGGGTCTCTGTTGGTAATCAGTTTTTCCATCGCTGCCTTCTGGACCTGGTGATGAGATCTTCTCTGAAGGTTCTTTTTTTATTTTTATTTGTTTTGATAATTTTTCCTTTTGTTGATATTTCTTTAATTTTTTATTAGTTATATTTTAATTTTTTTTGTGGTTCGATTTTTAAATCTTAAATTTTGGTGCTCTTTTTTTTTTTTTTTTTTTTATCTGAAGCAAAAAATTTGTGCTAATTTTAGGGGTTCTATGGTGAGGTTTTAGGTTATATTCTTCGGGATTTAATTTTTGTGAGGCATTATGTTCCAGCCTTTTGTATGTAATAGTAAGTGAATATTTGACCGTCTCCTTCTACTAATATCTATTTCATTGCCATTTGTAGTCTAAACATCATCTTGCATTTTTCCCTTGCAGAAGAGGTTATCCTCGATTTTGTTACATTACAGGTATTTTGCTCTCTTTTTTTGTAATAACTTTTTTTCCCTTGAATTGTTGATTTATTTATGATTATAACCTATTAGGTGTAAGGTTCAATAGTGGTTATCATGGATTAGTTGACCTTCAAAATATTAGGTTGTGGCATGTTTCCTTAAACCTTTGAAACATGAAAGTTGATATAACGTTACTAGAATTTGCGGTCATTTGAACATTTATGGATGTCTAGCTTTTTGTGTCTTTCATATACAAGATTGCTTCTTTTCTTCCCTTTTCTGATTCTAAATCCCTGTAA